GCAGAACGATAAAGACGATAAGTTGTGCGTGCTCGACAGCTGTACTAGCGATGCCAGCGGATTAAAGTGTGAGCTGCAATACGTTTTATATGTAGCAGTGTAATGTAATGTGATGGTTTTGGAAGACTGAAGACCCGGCCACTTTTGTATGTACCTTCCTACCAGGGGACTTGGTTCGCTACAATTATTGCCGCCACGGCCAGCGCATCACGCCTGAAGCAGTAAAACCAGCCCAATATTTCCGGCGAAAGGACTACGTTGGTGAGTCTTGAGAAAGATGAAGACCATTAATACTGACTTGCAAGGCGATGGAAGATTGCTCGAATAATCAACTGATGTATTTTTGAGCGGTCCATATATTATATCTGCTGCAGAGGTCCAGAAAGATGGGAGCGACAAGTGGGTCCATTGTGCTTACTCGTCTCCAACCAACTATCAGATGAGTGAGTCTTACATGGTCATCAATTCTTTTCAAGCCTTGAGACAATCTGACCCGGGTGCTCAAAACTACTAGCTTGTTCCGACTGCTCGTCGTGAGCTTGATACTTCGACTGCTGAAAAACCCAAGTCCCCGTGATTCCACCGCCTGCCTTCACCACTCCATCGTACAAGCCCTCAAAAGCTCAGCAAAACGGGCCTGCCGTGGACGAAACGGTTGGATAGAAGAGCGTCGATATCTTCTCTCACTCGACCCGACACTGCAGTTGTGTTTAATCCTTATGGACCTTTTCTAGTCATCAACCTCCTCATTGTATCCAGAACGAACTGTGTATCTTGACGATCAAGAATGTACTACCCCATTTCCTCTGTATTTTGCAAATGCTTCATGAGAACCTCATAGCCGATGAGGCATCCAATGGCTCACCGGTTTTGAGATCCCGACATTGGATCATCAAGCGAACAACTGATCCAATTTAAATTGCATGAAAAAGAGAAACAGATCATCAACGTGGGGAGAGACGTAAAGAAAAGAAAAACTAAACAACTAGGAAGAAGGTCATCAGAAGAGTGATCAAGCAGAAAACAGGTGATGAAAAAGTGTAGCCGAGCGAGACGAGTGTTGTACAATCAGTCTCGGTACAAAAAAAAAGCATCACAGGAGAGAGACTGAAAGATTGTAAGAGCGGTGAAGAGGTTGCAAGTGATATAAGATGTTAGAAATGGCGAACATCGGCTAGGTATGAAGATGTGGGATGCAGAGTGGGGAGCATCTATCTTCGAGCTGGCTAAGAGGACACATGATTGATAATAATAGAGAGATGGACAAGAGATAAAAAAGCACGACGTGAGGTCTGCTTAAGCAAAGACTGCCAAGACTGAGGCAGCGACGGCAAGCCCAGCGAAGAAGGCTTGTTGGCTGACGGCAGAGACAGACGAGGCGGCACTGCCGGGAGCGTTATTGGCAGGAGTGTTGGCGTTGTTGTTGACGGGAGTGCTGGTGGAGGGGGTGGTGGTAGAGGAAGGGGGCACGAAGGGCGAGGGGCCCTTGCTCGAGTTGGTGGAGCTGCCGGCAGAGCTGGTGCCATTGGGCATCGTCGCAGGGGTGGTGTTGTTGGGCTGAGCACTAGGGGTGCTGGCGGTGTTGTTTCCGCCCTTGCTTGGGGGGTTTGCACTCGCAGTTCCGGATGAAACCGTGGGGGGAGCAGTGGATGGCGGGCTAGAGAAGAAACAAGTCAGCTTCGAACGAGCAATCCTCGTTCAGAATGGGAGAAGATTACTAACGTGGGTGAACCTGAGGGGGGAGTGGTTGGGGATGGGCTGTTGCCAGACTTCAAACAACTGCTATCACTGCTGGGCTGGTTATGATTGATTCAAGCTTAGCGCTCTGAACGAATGAAGGAGTAGAGACGGAGGTAGATAGCTAACCTGGACGGTGACAGCCTGCGAGTAGTTGATGTTCCCTTTGGAGTCACGGATCTGGAGGGTGGTAGCGGTACCGGCAGCCAAGTTGGTGACCCAGGTGTAGCTCTCACCGGTTTGAGGGCCCAGATCGGCTAGCGGGAGTGCGCCGACTTGACCAGCGGGGATTGCCTGGTAAAAACAAGATATCAAAGGGGCGATTAATAGGAGGCCAGTGAGATTGGATTTTCCACAGGTGATGAGAAGCTTACCGTGAGCGTGTAGGGAGGAGTACCGCCATGGAAGGTCAAGAGTGTTGGCAAACATTGGACAACAGACTTTGATAGGGTAAGATGAGCAAAGGTTAGTATGGCGAGGTGTGTAGAGGGATGAGAAGTGAAGGTAGGCTTACCGATGGTGTATTGAGCACTGGGGCATCGGGCGGGGCAGTTTGTGCAAGGGCAAGGTTGAGAGAGCCCAAGAGGACGGCCAGATGAGAATGCATGCTGAAGGGGTGCTGTGTTATGAGGGTAAGGGTGTATTAGTTGATTGATTAGAGGTGGGATATACAATAATATGTAGTATTATCAAGTTCCAGTGATTGGGTATGTGCTATTTGTGGATGTTTTGTACTGGGGGAAGGAAGGAAGTAAGGAAGGATGAAGGAGGATGGAAGTGGATGGAAGTCGGGTGGATGATGAAGAAGAACGGGGCTTATGTAATCGGAAGACTGCTGCTGACGACTGTCCAAGCGAGCAGCCCTGCAAAGCCTAATTACAGTCAACCACTTTCATCGAGCATTCTGCACACAGCCAGTGATCAT